GTTGGTAAAGTATGTTTTTTAAAATGTCAAAACAGTTTATAATAACATTTCCGTTGACATCGTCTGGAACAACTGCTTTATTTGACATCATCTGGAACACCTGCTTTATTTGACATCATCTGGAACAACTGCTTTATTTGACATCATCTGGAACAACTGCTTTATTTTACTTTAACACTTTAAAAGCACTTTCAAACTCTTCAAAAGACAAATCAAAAAAATTTAGATACGAGTTTAGAAGGTCATATGTTGCCTTTATTAATTTTTTATAGTTATAAAATTTATGCACGCGCAGAAATGGAAGTAAAAACGTAAACAAACGTTATTTTAACAGTAATTTGTTCAAGATTTACAAAGCAAAACTAAGGTTTATCAAACAATATTATTAAACCAGTGCCATTAGTCTTATATAATTATTAAAAAAAGAGCCTGTCAAATCCATTTTAAATAACATTAAGAAACAAGTGAAAAAAGTACCTCAAAACATTGACTTTTAGATTTGTAAAAAAATAATTAAACTATCTTATTTTGTACTCTAATGTACTTAATGTTGTTTAAAGCTAAATTTATGCATATATATATATATATATATATATATATATATTCTGAAATAAGTTGTCATGGACTTTTACAAATAGTACAAATACTAATCTAAAGTAAAAACCTGCAACATTACAATAAAATAATAACGATAATAATATAAATAATAATTATTATTATTATTATTATTATTATAATAACAATAATAATAATAATAGTAATGATAATAATTATAAAAATAATAATAACAATAATAATAAGATGACGATGAAGAGGAGTATTATTAACAGTAAAGTTATTAGTTATTAGTAACAATACTAACAGTAACAATAAAAATATTATATATATATATATATATATATATATATATATATATATATATATATATATATATATATATATATATATATATATATATATATATATATATATATATATATATATATATAGTACAATAATTAAATAGTTCAATATATATAGTAACAATAACATAACATATATAGTACAATAATATCTTTGGTCTTCTAATAACTTGTTCAACCAATATCCTTAAATTAGCAATTTCTATCTAATTTTTTTTCAGAGTTCTATATTTTTCATTGTCATTTATCAAGTCATTTGAGCTGCACTATTCCAACCAGAGGGAACTGTGTGGTAAATGTAACTTTCAGAACATTTAGTGTTAATATTAGACCCTTAATCATACATTATACAAGAGTATTTTAGAATACAATCTAAACCTTTGTTGCGATTTGTAATTTCTTTATCCAAAATTTAGCTTCTGTAAGCTTTAGAAATTATTTAAAGAAATTATTGATGAATTCTGAGCTACGGGTACTAATGTTTTTATATTGTTGTAATGTTTGTATTCACTCCTTGTTAGTTTCTGTAAGTCAAAACATTTAGGTGTTTTCATAATAAACTGTTATATCTGAAATTTAGTGTAAGTCTATATAATTTAATTTCTTAAATCTGTTTTGTATTGCCTGTCTTATAATATCTTTACTTGGAACAAAACCCATGTGCTTTAAAAGTGAGCTAGAAGCTTTCAACCATGAAGAAAATATTGCATTTGCTAATCCTAAAGATATATTAAACCTGTCAGCAAGATCAGTTGTCAGTAATACAAGTATTAGCATTATTCAAAATTCATCTTTGTTGCATAACATTTATTTTGGTCCAAGTAAATAAGGGTTTTTTTAAATTTCAAAAAACAGCAGTAGATGTTTTTTTAATATCACTTTATCTTCTTTTGATTAATGGTGGTACTGCACTAACTGATAAAACTCATTGACAGATGTAAGGCCAGTATAAAAGTCGCAAGATCTATCATTTTTAAAATAAATGTTTGTATACAAGTAAATTGCAATAACACGATTTGTTTGGATTATGTTAGAATAATATATAGAAATTTTTTTTATTGTAATAACTGATGATTTTTTTTTATTTCGTGCTGAAGTTCTTTTTTTTAGTTATTAATTTCCTTTTTTAATTCTTGATGCTCTATTATAAAACAACGCTTAACATTAAATTCAACATAATTTGATGGATCATTGTTTGAAAAATCTGTATTATTTAGATTTAATAATATAAGTCTTTGAGCATTGTAGCCTAAGTTAAACGAAAAATATCGATTTTTAAACGATAGTATTCTGTCAGGAAAATTGTCTGAACATACTCTCATTTTATATTTTATGGTAAATAATTTACTATGACGCAATAATGTAGGAGTTGAACGGTTAATTAGTTTTCTCTATATTTCTCTGAGCTGTAGTTGTTTTTTATTGTTATATATCTGTATGTGTGTTGATAATGGATAACAAATGCTTACTCAAATGGTAGTTTGCAGTTTCACAAGTTAGAGCTTCGTTTAACATTTTGTATCATAAATAAATCATTTTTCCACATTTCTAGATTGTGCTCGTTATTTTTACAATTTTATATCGGAACTGTGAAAAGGTGTATTGTTTTTTGATGAAGAAAAAAATTACAATCCACTTTAATAACTGAGGGCAAATTTTGCGACATTTTAGTGTTACCAGTAATTTCGTTTATTAGTTGCCAAGTGCATTTTGAGTTTAATTTGTATTTTTCAAGTAAATTAGTGTAGTATATTATTTTTGAATTTTTCCTTAAACGTTCAAATAGTCTTACGTAATTTTTATAAATGGTCTTACTCTCAATTGTTTTTGATTTTAAATATTTAATATAAAGTTTTTGTTTAATTTAAGAAGATTTTAGAATACCCTTAGTAATCTATGGCGATTTAATTTTTTAATGTTTGTAATTTATTTTATCCTTTGGGAAAATTGATGCCATAAATTTCATAAAAGATTTTAATAAAATTTCAGAAAACGATTTGTATATTAAATTAATGTCTTCAGAAAAGCTAATAATGTCCCAATTAACTAAAGAAAGTTGATATTTGAAAGATTCTAGGCATTTTATTATGAGAAATATGTTTTTTAAATGAATGCATAAATGTCTATTAAAAATAAATAAATAGGGAAATGATCAGATATGTCACTTTTAATAATGTCTTTTTAAAGTGAATTATTAAAAATATCGTTGGTTATAATGTTATTATTAAGAAAGTTTTTGTTTGAGTATTTCTAGTTGGTATTTTAAAACTATTTTCTAAATTCGAGTCATCAGAACTACACCAAATTTCAGTTAGGCATATCACACCAAAAATAGTTAGATTTTCCTCAAAACTATTGCTTAGATTTTCAAATTTTTTTTAAATTTCTTATATTTATATAAATTGCATTAAATTTATCACGCTCAAGAAATTCTTTTGTTTCAAAATTACAAAAATAGCTGAAGTTGCTTTGTAAATCATCTGTTTCACAAACTTTGTTCATTAGTTTCTTTTTTTAGTTTTGTATTTTCTTCTTGAAGATTTAATAGCTTAATTTCCATTTTATCAAACTTCTCGTTAAATATTTTTAATAAAGTATTTTCATAGGTCTTTATTTTGAGAAACGGTAAATTTAGCTATTTTTAATTTAGTTTACAAAAGCTTGTCCGTCCACGTCAAAAGTTTTTTGTGTCTCACATAGGTTTTTGCGTGTCTCTTGTTTATTAAAACAAGGTATAAAAAAAGGCTGTAGGAAAGTCATATTTATAAAGCTTTGTTTAGTTTGTGTGTTTTTGCGTTGTTTATTTTGTGTGTTTTTGCGTACTTATTCACTTTTTTCTTTCCGTTTTTTTCTACTTTATACTTTTATATATTATATAAACGTTATTTTAGTTTTAAAATTTTGAAGGATTGTGGTCCAATCTCTGCCTAATTTTATATCTTCAATTGTTTGCGGAAACCTTATTTCATCTTCTAGTAAGATATGACACAAATCATTATGTATTTTTCCTGTGCTTTATGCTCAAAAGGTTTGAGTATAAAGCAGAGGAAAAAAATACTTGAGCATTTTTATGTACCTTTACCTCCTATGCTTTGGAAAGATTTGATAAGTTTATGCGTACTTATCCACTTTTTTCTTTTCGTTTTTCGAAAAATATACACATCATATACACATATGCACGCTCATTCTTGACCAAACGTATACATTCAATACATTCTCATATAAGTATGTGCGTAAATATATATACATACGTATATGAACACATAATCATTTGTACTTGTACACACGCACATACATACACACACCAGGGACGGATCCAGTATTTTTTTGTGTATGAAATAGTTAACTTACAAACATGGACAAAACTCCAATTATTTATATATTTATATTTTTGTCAATTAAGGATGGTTTGCAAAAAATTGCGATGGTTGGAGCCTGGGGGAAAAAAATCCCTAAATTTATAACCCCCTCAAATTGAGGGGCATAATATAACCTACACTACAATAACATTCACCTTTTTTATGTCCAAAAGCGACAAATTTATCAGTGTTTGCAATAGGCGCTCATCCTCTATTGACTAGAACCCGTGGAATTTTCTCTGAATATTGTGTCTATGTCTTTAATAGATTTTGAGTTTTTGTTTTCTTTTTTGTTCCTTGTAGATTTTTGATTAAATATTTTTTAAAGGTCATTGTCCAATGTTTGAATTTAAATCTTTCAATTACTATAAACAGGGCCGCCGAGAGCTGTCACGCTGCCTGGAACAGCTCTTCTGATTGGCACCCTTATTTATCAAATTTTCCCTATATTATATATGAAGGACTTTTTTTAATTTTTAGGTACCTACATTTCATTTGGCACCCCTTGGATATTTGCCGCCCGGGAGAAACTGTCCCTTGTGACCCCCCTATCGTGTAGTGGAAAACCATCTAAAAAATGTTAGCTGTTAACAAAACCGCTATAGTCTTTTCCAATAAACTTAAAAAAAAATCCTTATAATAAATATAGTATTAAAATATGATTCTTTAATGTTCTTTTTTTTTCCTGCTGTAAACTAAAAATAACTAGTTGTTTAAAAAAATAACCATTAAAAAATAGTAACGTAACAGCTGGATTTTTTTTCAAAATAACTGCGATTCTTGACAACTTGTTTTAATCGGAACAGACTAATCGAGACAAATTTTACATTCTGTTGTGAGCTTTCTTGCCGTAAATTTTCCTTTAATAATAGTCAAAAGGCCCGAGTAGTAGACCCTGTAAGTAGCTTCAGATTTGGCAAAATGAATCCTTCATTATCGTGCCAATCTCATCATTTTATTTTTATTGAGTTTAACCCACTTGTTTATTTTATATTATATTTAAATTTTTGAAACATGGATCCTTAAAATTTAAGCAGGAGCCAAGATGGGAAAATATTCGACTGACCCTGAAAATCCAACTAAATCATGCAAAGCTCGAGGTTCGTATTTACGTGTTCATTTCAAAAACACTCGTGAAACAGCTCAAGCCATTAAAAATATGCATATCCGTAAAGCTTACAGATATTTAAAAGATGTAATGGAACATAAACAAATTATTCCATTCCGAAGATATTCTGGAGGTGTTGGTAGAAAAGCACAGGTATAATAGTATTGAATATTTTGTTTTTTAATTTTTCTATTCTGTTTTATTGAAATATTTTTTTATTTTCATATTTTTATATTAAAATTATTTTCACAATGTAGTAATTTACACACTTGTTCTTTTTACATTTATTTGTTCAAAGTAAATCTGTAAAGTCTTTTTATATATTTTAAGGTAGGTTAAAAAAATTTCATAATGGTCCATTATTAAGTTAACACTAAAAGGTGTTATTAGTATTATTATTATTAGTTATTATTATTAGTATATCATGCGAGAAATTAGTATATCATGTGAGAAATAGTATTATTATTAATAATTATTATTAGTATATCATGTGAGAAAATGGCGTTATCAGATCGTTAATCTAAATGTAAGCTTTAATGCATCTAAGTTTTATGTCAAAAATGCGACTAAATTTTTTAAAAATATCCTCTCATCCTTACTAAATATTTTTTTTATGAAATCATAAATTTTATTGGAATGTATACCCTCATTGCTAGGATATGCGTAATATGTAAATGTATTAAGCAAACTAGACTACACCTGAGTACTATCATTTGTTTATTACAGGGTTCCCGCTCCTTAAAACCTTGAATACCCTTAAAAAAATCTTCCTTAATAGTACTTAAATAACCTTAAAAAAAGGTAAAGTCTGACTGCTCTCTTTAATTTCTCCTTATTAATTTTTACTTTTTAATAATCTAAGAAATTTTATTTAAGTGAAGGATTATACTTATTAATAAAGAAGAAAATATATAGTTTTTTGATAGTTTGCAAACATATATTTCGAATATATATATTTATATATATATGTAAAGTAATATATTAATTTATAATAATTTTTCTGTTTACATTTAAAATTTATTAAAAAAATAGGATTCTGTTTCTAATGTAACTGTTTTCTCCTTACTTTTTCTTTCAAAAATTGTTGTTTGCGTCCAAATCTTCTTAAATATTAGAAAATATATCCATAAAATCCTTAATTTCAGCCTCAATTTTAATAGTGGAGACCATATATTGGTCTCATCAGTACTAAATACAATGTTACATACTTATTACCATAAGTATTTTTTTTGTTTAGGATTGTTAGGTATGTGAGTTTTAAATATTAGGTCAAGAGGTAATGCCTGATTTTGCATAAATTTAACTATTGCTTAAACACTCCTTAAATTTTTGCAAATTTTTATAAATTAAGTTTTTTTAACAACCTTTCTAACCAGGGTTTAGTTTAATTTTATTATGTTGTTTTTGAAAGTCAATGAAGTCAATAGATTTTTTGTTTTATATATATATTTACTTAATGAACAACACTTTAAGTTGCATTTTTTGATTGATTAAACACTCCTTTAATGTGATGACATAGAGGGCCAATACAGTCAAGGCATTAACTCTTGGCTTTAATAAAAAATTGTGACCTTTTAAATCTTCAATGCAGTCTTCTCTGTTTAGCCAGCGTTTTTGTGCCTAAGTCTTTTTATGCTTGCCCTCACACCCAAAATTACTTAGGTAAGTGCATAAACAAGAGCTTAGCAAAAAAATTATAATATTAAAAGCGTTTTATTTTAAATTACAACTAAACTTTTGTTCATTTGTTCAATTTTTATGTAAAAAGGCTTCTTTTTTTTATCAGTTTTTTAAAATCATTTTAGCTAATATTTATTCAAATTTTTTTTGCTATTTTTGTTTTAATTTAAATAGCAGGAAAAAAAGAATTTTTTAAATCGTGCAGGCTAACTTAAAAATGACCATCCTGCCGGCGTTTTTTTGTGCGCTGGCATTAAATTTCAAATAGAGAAGACTGCAATACCAATTTTACTGAGGTAAATAGCCAAATATAACAAATGTTTAAAATCTTTTTTGCATATTGAATCAGTTAGTGTAGGAATCATATTTTATAAGTGTCAGATAAAATGTGTAATCCAAGTCCCAAGTATATTTTTATGTTAATTTTTTTTATTATCATTTATATACATTCTAATTGTTTTATTAGGATTAGTATTATTTTATTTTCAAGTCTAACATAATACTTAATTTTGTGTTTGTTCAAAAATGTAATTTTTTTGCTTTGGCCAAAAAATTAGCTAAAAGTTTTTGTTTTATTTTTGAGTTTTCACCCACACTGCAAAAAAGGGCCTGAACCCTATCTGGCCTTTTCATCAATTTTTCTTGTTTGTTTTCGAGTTGCTGTTTTGACGAATAGCGATTTTTAAAAGATGTTATAGTTTTATATTCTATGTTTAAATACATTAGTGTAAATATTACATATACGATGTAAACTCTGAATTTCTTGAGTTTATGCTCAGTTACATCTGTTTAGTATGCTTTCAATTAGTTTGGGGATTTAATTAGTTGGGGGGTTAATTATTAAACAGTTTAATATTAGTTACTGTCATAGTTCTTTAGTTTAATATCAGGTCATGAAAAGGCTTATGTGTATATACAACTTTTTGTTGAAGTATTTGTGCAGGTTTGCCACTATTCATAATAGTTTTATGGTAGCTTTGTAATGTTTTGTGCTTATTTTTTTTTAGTGTAAAGCATTTAAATGTGCTCAAGGTAGATGGCCTACAAAAAGTGCATCATTTTTGTTGCAACTTTTAAAAAATGCTGAAAGCAACGCTGATGTCAAGGTTAGTTTTTTGATTTTTAGTAGATTTTGTTAGATAATTATAGATATATAATATATGAAATTTTTTATATTATATAATAAATCATATTATTAATTGGGGTGGCTAGCAACCTGTATAAGTCAAGGAAAATCTCAACTATGTTTAAAAGTCAGTAAATTGTATGGACCCAGTAACCAAATATATATATTCAGGCTTTCACAGGAAGACCTGGGATTTCATGTCTTTATATGACCACACAAGTTATTATTCTACAAAAGTGAAATTAATTACATCAAAACTTCTTAACATGTTTTTATATAAGCGAAACGATTTTAAATAAAGTAACAATTTACTAAAAAAAAGTTTTGTATTTTAAATATAATTGACAGTTGTATATATTTTTTTAATTTAAAACATATAAATTGTTTAAGTGTTCATTTCTAAAATTAATCTTATTTAAAAAAAAAAAAATTGTTTTGTTTTTATAAACGATGACATTCTACGACTATGAAAGTCTCTTTAATGAATTTAAATATAAGAATGATTAAAGTTAATGCATTTAAAAAAAAATTTTTTTTTTGTTAAAAAAATAAGTTTCAGAAAACTGTTACAATTTAATAAGTTTGATCTTATCATTTGATATTATCAAAAGGCTTTTAATGAAGTAAAAAAAAATTTCTAATTAAAAAAAAAGTATCACCAAAATATTTTTTTATTTTATTTACATAACTATGCATTTTTTATTAGAAATATTTTACTTTTGAACATATTGAATAAATAAAAAATATAAAAATGTTGAAACTAAGATTGAAAAATTTTTTCAAGTCGTAAATTAAATAGACTAAGCATTTTAGTTTGTTTTAGTTGCATTATATATTTATTTTTTTGTGATTTTGCTTTAACTAAGTATTTTTTTTATTTTCTCTTTTGTTAATATTTATTATATTTTTAAATTTTTTTTTTTCAGATAAGTTTAGGTTAGTTTTTGTTGCGCGTTTTCAAATTTTAAAAATATGCTGTGGTCAAATCGTTAAAACATTTTTTTTTTTCTTGGTCATATAAAGACGTGAAATCGCACGTCTTCCTGTGAAAGCCCTGATATATATTTTTTTAATTGACTTTTTTTTTTACTTCTTTTTTTATTCCATTTTTTATATTTGTTAAATTTTCATCAGGGAAAAGTCAGGTAAAATGAAATCAAAAATTTTCTGGCCACCCTGATTAATTACATTTAAATGTGTATTTGTTAGTTGACCAGAGATCTATTCCATCAATTAGGTGATCCATTCCATCTTTAATTTTCTTTAAGTTTTTTATTTCTTCATTATTTAATCTAAGAATTTTTATCTAATATTAATGCCTAATTGCTTTTCTTTATTTTTCATCTATTGGTATTGTAGTTTTATGAAGAATCATATTCTTTAAATCATATTCTATCATTAAGTTTTTTAAATAGTAATGGGTGTGCAGATTTCCCATTCATTTTAATTTGTCTTGATTTATTTTATAAGAATTGACCAGAATTTCACATTGATTTACTTTTAAAAATAATCTAGTCAAGTGATTGTTGCAGATGTAGTCAATGCTGCCAAACATGAAATAGTTTATTGATTTTGGATTTCTTTTTTAACAGTTTCTAAAGAAATGTGGCCCAGAATTACCAGAGATAAGCAAGGTTTTGGAGTGTTTTTTAAAGCAATACGGTTACAGTATTTCATGAAATATCTATCTGTATTCAAATATTTTAAGGCCTGGTAGATTTTACAAATTTATTACATGTTATTAAAACAATTATTAATTTTAAACTTAAATTAGTTACGGCAAATCTTTAAAATAGTTTGAGGGATAGTTCTACAAAAAAAAAGGATACAGAGAGACTAGTTCATGGCAACCAATTGTATTTTGCAATAATTAAGTAAAATAAGCATAAAATTATGCATTTTTTGATCTAACCTATTTTGTGCTTATAAGCAACAAAATGCCTAAAGGTTTAGTTAATACAATTTTTTTTTTTTAATGTCTTTATATTTTTAAATATCTTTATATATTAGGAGTATATGAAGTATTATGCATATGGTATCTCCAGCTTGATTAATATTATAATCTTGTTGGTCGTTAAACAGATGCTATAGCATTACCAAGATTCTAATATCGTTAAACTGCATTTATATATTTGTAGTTTTGGATAGAAATGGGATAATCATTTTTTGTTAGCTGAAATCAAAGTTTGCTTTGCAAACAAACTTGTAATTTATGATGCATTAAACACGCTATACTATTGAAACATATATACCTTTTAATTGAAATTTCAAGTGGATCTCACACAAACAACTTTTCAATTTTTTCAAAATGTAACTTAAATTTAAAAGTTGTCTTCAACCTTTATAGCAAATTCTTTAAAATTCTGTATCTACAAAGAATTATTTCCACAAAAAGTGTTTTTTAACAACTTATTTCAAGGTTATCAGCATTTTTTTTTACAACATAAATTTTTATAATAAACTTTAAATCAATCCCCCGCCCCCCTGAGTATTAGTATTGTTACAAAATAAACATCAACTAAAAGTATTAATATATTAAATATTGTTTCAATAATCGGAACTATTTACACTTTTATGTGTGTGGGTTGCCCTATGTTATATTTTAAAATTTACTATAATTTTTTTATTTATTGAAAAAGGTCTTTTTAGTATGGTTTTAGCATATGGTATCTCCAGCTTGATTGATATTGTAATCTTGTTGGTCGTTGAACAGATGCGATAATATTACCAAAATTCTAATATCGTTAAATTGCTTTTATGTATTTGCAGTTTTGGATAGAAGTGGGACAAAAATTGATTGTTTTTACAAAAGCAGACCTTTAAGGCTGCATAAAATAACAGTTTACAACTTACATTTTTTGTTATCATGCAAAAGATTTTGTTTTTTATTTATTTATTTTTTAATTTATGTTTTTAAAATTTTGAAAATTGAGTAAGTTTTTAACAACCTTTCTAATCAGGGTTTGGACGTGGATTCTTTGGTTATTGATCATATTCAAGTTAATAGAGCTCCTTATATGAGACGAAGAACATACCGTGCTCATGGGCGAATAAATCGTAAGTAACTCTCATTTGATTTGTTTTGGGTTTGTGTGGAGCGTTTATTTTGTAAAGTCTGTTTTTTATTTTAGCTTATATGTCGAGTCCTTGCCATATCGAACTCTTCTTAACTGAAAAGGAAGAAGTTGTTCCTCGCGCAGAAGATGAACTTGAAGTTAAAAAAGTTTCTAAGAAGAAGCTTGCCCGTGAAAAGTTAAAATCAAGAGAATAATAGATGCTATTCCAATGTATTTTTATTTGATTTTGCGCCGGTGAGATCTATAATTTTAATGCTTTCGCGATATTTTATTTTTACATCGTCTAAGTAGGGATTGCCTTTTTACTGATATTTTTTTCAACTTTAAGTTTTTCCGGGTATCCAAAACATTTTCAATACATGCGAGTTGAGGTATATATTTTTTTAATATATTGATTTTTTAAGCTTTTTCACTCATCGCTCATAAAAAAGTAATGAAAAGTGTCCAAAAATATTAGAAAAAACTTAGCTAAAAGCGAAATTAAAAAAAAAATAAGAGAAAACAAGTTCTGGATATTTTATTTTGAACAATTTTCCGGATTTTTAAAATATAACTAGGATGATCTAAATCTAAGGCAAACCCAACAGGCTCAGGATTAATGTTAAAAATTTCCCAGAAATTTTCAAAAAAAGTTACTTATAAGTACAGTCGTTTAGCGGTCCATTAAAAGCCACTAATTTTTTTTATTAGCGGCTAATTCTTGATAACGGCCGTTTATTTTAAGGGACGTTAACTCCGTTATGGTATGATTTTTCTAAAAGTTCCTCTACATATGGGTGTAACTTATTAAGGGCTGTCCCCTATGTCAAATAATGTCAGTAACTTCTCAATTTGTGACCCCCTCCCTTTTGTCAAACTCTTAAGGACATTTGTCCTTCCTCCCCCTCCCTCTCCTATATATGGTGTCAGTCTTAGTTACATTCAAAATATTCGTTAAGGGGGTTGCCCAAGAAATAAACTTTTCTATGACCCTGTGAATTTAATTAACCAAATTTTGGTATAAATGGCTGGTCTCAACTTAAAAAATATTTCAAACACACCAAACCATTTTTTTGTCTCGATTACCCTATTTTATCGCTAAAATGAGACAAAAAAATGAAATATTTCAAAACACAATATCTGCAGATGTGAAGATAGTTACTACTTCAAATTTTCATCATAGCTTAAGAACGATAGTAAAATCCATTTGACATATCAATTTTTTTATTGACTCACTTAGTCAAAAGTTATGCCTCTATTAGTAAAAAGAGTGTTTAAAGCATAGTATTTTTTGTATAAATTTTACAAATTAAGAAGTTTTTTACCTCAATAAAGAAAAAGCCTATGATGTATGGATTATATATAATATATGAGTATTTCCTGAAAATTTCAACTTATTTTATCCATTCAATCTTGAGATATCATGTTTTAAAATTTTAAAAAATATGTAAAACCATAAACATGAGAAAATCAAGTTTTTGTCTAAAATAATAAGAAAAAGATGTTAAAAACCATCAGCAGTGTAAGATTCACACTTTTCACTTTCATTTTCTTTATCCATGTACCCTTTTTTGAATGCTCTTAATTTCTTTGTTTTTTAACGATTGGACTTGATCGCTTTTCCATTCTAGCAACACGTTGGCAATCTCGCGCAACAGATTCATCAGCAGCCGCCTTTTCATGCAAGCCAAAATGTCCTAAAACTGCATAAACCCCGCCACTCCTATCATTATAATGTAAAATAGCTGAGTTTATTGAACATTCAAATGTTCTTCGTTCAATAAAAACATTCTTGGGACATCGAGTCCATACAACTGAGTTGAAGGATTCATTAGTGTTTTGAGTTTGCCCGTGAACGCATTTGTTCAATAACTCGTCGTCTGATAAACTTACAAAGATCGGTTTTAAAAGGTAATGAATGGACATTGGTAAACTTATGGTGTTTTTGAATGTTTTTGTCTTATTAGTCTTATCTAACTGCCATTTGCACCAAGAAGTGTCATCACGTGGACACATTTCATGCCGCTGGTTTTCATCGGTAAACGCAGTACAGTGAAGCAACACTGAGCTGATTGCTTTTTTCATGGCATAAACATTGTTTAAGTTGTTTCTTATAGCTTTTCCATAATAGGTTTGCATTGAGTTAATTGTTTTTTCAGTCAACTTCCCCTTTCCTGATATTTCACAAGATTTCTAAGACGAGTACCTAAGCGCTTCTGAACATGCCCAATACATTCCAATTTGAGAGGTGTTATACCAAAATCTTTATAGGGTATTGCTGCTATGACTTCTTTATAAGACAAAGAATCTCCATCACCTAAATATTCTTTGTAAATAAAGCTGTTCTTTTCCACAGAACGTTCAAAGATTTTAACAGCACCAGCTCCCTCCATAGCACCAGACGACTTAACATGATTAATACTACATACATGTTTTGCTTTCCATCTATCATAACTTGATGAACCTTTTTGTTTCTCCCACATAAGGCAACCCTTACAGTGTTTAGAAAAAGCTTGTACATCAACAACTTTATCTTCAACAATACCAGTAACAAATCCATTAAGAGATGAATGGCCTCTTTTCTTCCACGCTCCATCTATTTTTATACGTTGTTGTGTTGGACCATCAGAAGAATCTTGAAGATCCTCTGCAGCTTTTTTCATGCTTTTTAAAGCTGCATCATTGTATGCTTTATATATTTCATTTGAGTTTAGGTTATCAAAAGCGTTTTTGGCTAAACCATACATGTTCATACATTGAGTAAATGTGTTTATACTTGAATGACCTCGACCAATCTCTCGAAAAGCTATCACCGCTCCTGCATTTGCTTCAAATATACTTCTTCCAGTGGTATTACTGCTATTCTTTACACATTCTTTAGATGAATAAACAGTATGACTCCATTGGTCACAAGATGTACATTTTAACTCGAGATTATGTGAAAATCCCATTCTTTTTTGTGTGTTATCAAATAAACTAATGGTTAGCATATGACATTTTGGACAAGCTATCTCTAAAAATAGATTTTTGAGAACAGAGAAGTTAATAAGGATATTATAGTCATACAGGTCTTGACACTCCAAATGATTCTGAATACCCATATTTAGTTTTTTTACACTAGAACACATGCTTATTGTATTTAAACTGTTTGTTTTGACCAATAGATCATTTTTTTGCTGTTTTCTAAAATGATTGAGAGGAGCCTTTCTTTTAAGTTTTCTTGCATTATTTTGCTTATTTCCTTTTTGCCATTATTATATATTTAAGTCTAAAAGAGTAAGAACCAATAAAAATACAAATAAGTCATTAAACCACAATAAACATTTATAAAAATCTAATAAATAGTGTATTTTATGTTGCATCACGTTGGTCAAAACGAAAAATATCCATTCAAATAATGACTTTTAGTTTATTAAAATCCATAAGACCTAAGATACACCAAACGACATTACTTTGATACGGAGTTGATGATTATTTGAAGAGGTAAACCCAAGATATTTGACACTTCAATTGAAGTCACAAATGAAGAAAAATGTCAAAAACAAAAATGTGAAGAAAACTTTATATACCACTATATAAAAATTAAAAATAAAAGACTTTATATAAATTATACATATGAGATTCATATACCATTTTAAAGAGGTTAAAATTCTGCTCATAAAAAACATTAAAAAAAAAAAAAAAAATTTTAAAAAAATCAAGATTTATTTCTTGGGCAACCACCTTAACACTGATGTTCGCCGAAAAACAAAACTTGCGAAAATTTCGCATCTCTACCGTAATCATGGCCCTCTATATTTACAGGCCTCGTAAACGCGTAAATCGAAGCCTGGAGCTGGGGTCCATTGAACTTCAAAACTATCTTCGATAACTGCTAGCGACAACAAAGTTTTTTTAATATAGTTCATTTGTTATTTAGTTTTCAGACAGAAAAATGTTGCGTGACAAACTGTAATGGTAATTACAACAAACAAAATAAAGAAAAAGTTTTCCGGCTTCCTTCTGATAAAGAAGAATATAATCGTTGGATAAATGTTATTCCACGAGATAATATACCTGAAAGTCCAGATACAGTTGTGTGCGAAAGACACTTTCCATTGGGATCTCCTACAGTTATAAAGTTTGGTCATAAAAGGCCACGTGATCCTCCATCAGTTTTTACATGTGTAAAACCTAGTTTGGTACCTAGTGTTCCATCGCCATTAAGAACAACCTTTAAAGCTTCTTCATCTGTTCGTAATATTATACCCAATGAACTTGATATGTTTATAGCTGCTGTTCAGATTACATGTTTTAAATCATTACATCAGAAGTTACAAAATAAAGAAATTAATTTTGAATTAGTTGATGTAACTTGGTATTTTGCTGGTGAACATTTGCTAATAATTCAATCAACAAACTTTGAAGAAAACACTTCCATTGCCAGATTTATGCTCAAAATAAAAAATGATCTTTCATTCGAGGGATACTTTTGTGGAATTAAGCATACAATTGCATCTCTATCTGAAAACAGGATTTTCATATTAAATTCTTCCTTGAAGTTACAAGAAGCTATAAATTTTCTAAATAACCTAACAAAAAGCATTAAACTTATTAATCTTTTACAACACATCAGTGACATGAGCTCAATTACTATTGGGAAAAAAAAGTACAGTACAGAAACTATTGTAAGATCATTTGAATACTTTGCAATTTCGAGTTCGTTATATGGAAGGTTAAGGGAAGATTATGAACTTCCAAGTATTTCCCTATTAACAAAGCTAACTTCTAAACTGGATTCTGCAATGAACGACACAGAGTTTTTTAAATCAGTTTATTCTAAGCTTGAAAATGAAATGCAAAAAAGTTGTATGATTTTAATTGACGAAGTTTATGTCAAATCATCTCTTACTTATCATGCTGGCTCAGTCTTTGGTAAAGTGGTAAATAAACCAGAGTCTTTAGCAACTACTGTTTTAAGTTTTATGTTAGTATCACTTTACGGAGGACCACAATATCTTTGCAGAATTTTACAAGTCTGTGAGCTTGATTCTAAATTTCTGTTTGAACAAACTCAATTTGTTTTAGAGGGAATAAAGAGTGCAGGAGGAATACCGGTAGCCTTAATATGCGACAATAACCGTGTAAATCAAGCACTATTTAAAATGTTTGATTGTGTTGAGCCATGGTTAACTAAAGACAATATGTTCTTGTTATATGACTTTGTCCATCTTCTTAAATCTGTCCGTAA